CACCATCTTCTCCTTACCCCCTCCCCCCAATCTCCCACATCTTCACCTCCGCCTGACCTCCTTCACCACCCACTTTAAAAGCCTCCTTGATTACCCATGCCATTGCAGTTAAATGTAAAGATTATACCATTTTTTTTTGGTTGGCAGGTCTGATTTTCTGATTATGTTCACATATATTTCAATTTCAATTTCCCACTCTCAAGTGCCGTATCGAACAACAAAAATTGTCTCCCAAGTCTCCAAACTACATTCAAACCTGCCCTGACGGCCACCTCTATAAGACGGCCACCTGTACAAACGGCCACTTTCCATTTCCCCCCTTGCGTTTTTTCTATATAATTTAACTGTAAAACGGGCACCTGTCCAATGCGGTCGCGGCCACCATATTTTAACACACAACCCCTATCACATTAAACAATAACACCTGTCTTAGATGGCCACCTTAGTGACTTCATTGCGTTTTGTGATAAATTGTGCCTTGGCCCCTGGCGTTGTGGGCGAGCCGTCATAATTCAATCACCTGTCGTTGTTGTTAGGTAGTCCCTCCAACCGATCAAGTTGCGTAGGCCCCTCCCACTGTTGACCAATAGCTACCAATTTTCAGCTGCTGGTGAGGTAAGCGTGTGATCCCTCATAACCCATAAGCCCCGCCCAGAACTCTTACACAAATCGTAAGTGAGACGAGTGGTCACTGTTTACCCAGTCTGTAACAATGGACATTGACGTGAACTTGTGACAAAAGCGTCCCTCGTTCTCCGAGTGGTGGCGACCCATGTGTTTGTTTTCCTCGCCTGACACATTTCGTTTTATTATCGCCCTCGTGCAAAATCAGCAACAAAATAAAAATTACAAACAAAATACAAACCAACAACAACGACAATTAAGACCACAACAATGCGGCTTCTTTCGATTGGGACCTCAGATGGAAATTGTTTGTTTTCTTCATCTTGATCGGTCCTGCCTAAGACGGCCACCTGTCTTATACGACCACTTTCCTCCTTGACAATGGGTGGCCGTCTTACACAGGTTTGACTGTACATTGAGAGATACTCGCTGGCAGTATTGCAGTCACGCACAAGTCATTTTTGCAGCCTTTGAGAAACAATACTGTCCACGTACTGTAAACTAGATTTTTATCGCATGCAACTTGATGTCGCGATTTTTAAAGAGTTTTGTAAATTCAAGTTATTCGCGAAATGTTAACAGGGCAATGCATCATTGGGACACATGAAGCTGTTTGACTCTACGCGAAAATGGAAATGGCTAAAAACTTGGAAAAATAACAGCTCACCAACAGGGTTGGAAACCTTTCTTGTAAATAATCTAAATTGTGTTGATGGGAGTCTAAAAAACCTACATTTAATTTTAACTGTCAAGTTTCTGAATGGTTCAAATCTCTGAAGCTGCTTGTGAAAGAAAAACAAATGTCTGTTACAACTGTTAAAATGTACTAAGCCCAAAGTTTTGAAAATTTCTTTTGTTGCTGTTTCTTAATCTGTGGTATCGGTTGCATGTGCTCCAGAATATATTTTGTCAAAATTCAAATTCTAAATGTTGGGGGGAAAAAGCAAGAAAATGTGCATAATTTAAGCACAATTGTTAAAAGAATGAAACTTTTTTTTTCTCTGTCGTGAGAAATGTTGCTTTCTGGGTGTAGAGCATTTTAGCAGCTTGCTCATGAAATATCTTGTACAACTGTTGACTCTTTGTTACTTACTGCCCCTAGTGCGAAATGAAAACATTTGAATGACTAAATTTGTTCCTATTTTGGACCTGACAATTGCATGAGCTTTCTTTCATAAAGGCTGACGGTTTTATTTAAACTTTTTTTTATGCATTTATAAAGCTTGTATGTTTCTGGTATTGTGGTGTTTGATTTTCATTTATGCAATATTTTATTGTGATACTGTTCACTGTGATCATAATTATATTGGTTGGTGTGGTTCGAACGCCTGGGTGGTAGTGCTGTGCAATCAGTTCCTGTTCAAGGACTTTGTATTCAGTCATGGTCCAATGATCACAAGTCTGTGAAATTGCAAATTGAAAACAGTTATGAGTCATACAGACTTCAATTATGGTTTTGGTCTATGAATGTGCCGATGTCATTACAAGTGAGCTGTTGTGCTAGTCAGATGGCCGATATGATAGAAAGAAAAGAAGAGAAGAGGCACTATTCCCATAGACGGGACAGTATTTTTGTCAGAGGTTCATTTCAGATGGCTGTCATGTTGTGTGGTGCAAGGCTGCTGTCAAATTGCAGTGTAGGAATCTATGAAACGTAACTTGTGTCTTTATCAAGAATTTCCTTCTGTGCTTGAGAAAAGGCCATATTTCTTATTTTTATTGTGAATTGTTCTATAGTAGTGGTATCTGGACATAAATTGCATCTGTTCCCGTGTTCTTTTGAGTAGTTTGCACAAGTAAATTATTTATTTTTATAGAACATTTTCACAATAACTGTTTTTTAGTTTAGAAGGCATAAGAAAATATGCAAAGACCTGTTAAGATTAAATAGCAATTTGTTTTTATCTTGTTTTAACTGCAGACAGACCAAAGTGAGCAAGCTAGGTCTATAGCTGCTGTGTATATTTTATCCTTTTGTTTTTTTCTTTTCCTCATGACATGAAAAAGTAAGAACCTGTTGTTTTGTTTTGTCCAGGTCACATCATCTTCCAGCTTCGCCAGCGATCAGCAGACTACAAGAAGCGCAGCAAGCGGCCGCGGGCCGTGTCACATGAAGATCTGCGCAACCACCAGAGTGACCAGAGGCACACAAACCTGGACATGCTGCCCTATCTGGTAGAGGTCAATGTGAGAGGTCAGTGCTGGGACGGAGATGATGTGTGTGACATTGCAGTGAAATGTCAAAAATGTGAATTTGAAAAATTAAAAAAACAGGACATTTTTACACCTGTCTGGCAATTTTTAAATAAAATTTTTATTTGTTTGGGCTCAGCACCTTCTGTGTCCATTTAAAAACACATATTTGTGTAGATTTTTCAGAGAAATATTAATCAAAGGCTCAAAAAATGTAAATTTGCAGTTTCCAAGGATGTTTAGGAAGTCACCAAACTTTGGCAGCCATTTTCTGGCTAATTTTACCTCTAACATCAGAGGACCCTCACCTCTTTCAGTCCAAATATGTGTGTGTGCCTGGTGAAAGGGACCACATGTCGCATTTTGAAAAATCCCGTATTTTGGCATTTTCTGGTACAGAATTCATTTCTGAACAATGTGCTTTTTAAATTTTGAAGATATCTTCAGTAGTTTTTGAGATATGGGAGATTTTGTAAGGCAGGGTACGGAAACAAAGTTTTGAGAAAAACGGCTCTAAAGTTTCACCTCTGTTTCTGCAGAAAAAACAAAAACAGAACACCCTTTTTTCATAACAAGTCACCATTCTAGTAAAAAGGTTTTGCTGTTGCTGAAATATAATGTTAAATCATGTTCATAATTATTATTGTTTTGTTTAAAAACTTGATACCCCCCTTCCTCCCCCTTCATCTCCTGCAACACACACAGGCAAAAAAAGTATCTTCACCACAGTAACTAGGGAACCTAACACTATCAATCATCAGGGTCAGAGGAAAACTTTTTGTTCCTTACCCACTTAACAAGATTGCCACATATCCAGATCTTAGAACCCAGACTCTCCAAGGAATAAATGAAATTTTGTTTTGCATACATTTAGAATTAAGAAAACAAAAATGCACTACTATGAGTAAGCTAGATCTAAACTAGATCTAGATTTAGTTCTAGATCTAGATCTAGGTTTATCAAGAAAGAACAGCGTTATGATAATTATTACTATTAATTTTCATTATAATAAATAATTATTAGTTTGCTAAATATAAATCTATTTCTATTATCACTGTTGTTTTTGTTGTTTTACCTGCTTCGCTCGGTTCTGCTTCAAGTGCGGGGTCTGGAACTGGCGATGGCACCACAGATCGAACTCATCTTCTTCCTCTTCTCCCAAATCGACGTCAGAAACGAAATAATCGCATATTACATCTCTAATGTCTTCTTCAGTTGCCATTCTGACATTCCAATGCGTCTAAGAGTATTGAGAAGAGACACAATTTCCTGCTCACGAATAGTACAAGATCTACTACTAATCTAACAGTACCGGTAGTACTGTTACAGCTGGCAGCTCCGCCGTGTTGTTGTGCTTCGAGACGACCTGACAACACAGTCGCTTCTCACAAACCAACTTTAAAAAGCAGCTTTACAATAAAAGAACAGCTTCAAAGTGTTTATATTACGTCTTCAAAACAAATTCACCACCACATTGAACAGGAATTTCAAGAAATACGGTTCGCACAGGGCAGAAATAGGCGATACAAGTTTGCTCTCCAAAGAAACAAAAGGGTATGGGTGCGCAAAGTTTCGCTTTGTTTACATGTTCTAGATATTCATGCGCACTACCTGCCATTGGAGAGCAGAGAGAATGACCTAAATTTTTAGTATGCAATGTGATTGGGTCGACTTTATGAATGGACAAGAGAAACCATCCGCAGTGTTTACCCTGAAAGCCAGTTTCCTCACGCATTTTTTGGGATTATGCAATATATCTCGGGTTAACAGACACCTTTTAAAATGTATTTTAAAGTCAAAATAACCCAAATCCTTGTAAATATCAATAAATAAATGGCTGAAGAATCCATTTTTAATGGAACTTAAATTTTGTCAAAAATTCTATTTTTGACTTTGAAGCCTGATATCTCGGTTTGAGAAAATGCGACATGTGGTCCCTTTCACCAGGCACACACACATATATTCAATTTTATTCAAGATAGATGGGTTTTTTTCATCAAAAGCCAGACAAATGAATAAGCTTTGATACCAATGACTCTGTATACCTAAAAATTGACGAATGCCTAATTCCACCGTAGAGTGAGACATACCCTTTTCTCTATGTTTTTATTATTGTTTTTGTCATGCTGGGAACATCACTTTAGACTTGGCTTAACTATCTGATTTTTGTTGTTGTTTTTGTGGTATTGCAATAGACAGTAATGTGAGGCGTGGTGACAAAATGAGTTTCTTCTCAGATTTTAGCCATATTAACTTAAATATATCAAATTTATAGGCTGAGGTTTTATAATTTCTTAGAGTGAAATGAAAAGGATATGTTAAACCTGAAGAAAATGAAGTTGAAAATCTAAAAATGTAACCCATGCATTGATTTTTTTTATTGAAATCTCTATTTAAGGATTGTGGGAAGTAAATCATTTCCCAGCATATCTTAGATGTGTGGGTGGATGGATGGAGGGTGCCACTTTTAGGTCCTGCAATTTCTTTCCCTCTATTGTTTCTGTCAGTCTATCTTGCTGGTTTCCCCCCTCCCCCCTTTGTCTTTGTCTTAAATGGTCATTTGGTATGGATTTGTTTCTCTTTATTCTGACAACACTAAAGTGACCAGTCTGTGTCACTTATTTTTGTAAGGACCAAAGAACAGATACTGATTTGTGCTCACTTTCATCTGCCTATTATGCGTAGTTGGCAGGTGCTCTAGTACGGTTTGCTATTTCTTCCCTGTCAAACATCTATCATCCTCGTCTCGCCTTTTTCCTTTTTTTTGTTGTAACATCTAATCTTCAGCACTTACATGACCTATGTGTGTTGCAAGTGCTGTAGAATTTTTACTAAAACATGATAATTTCTCTGCTTTTTCTTTCCAATCAAACATCTGTTGTCTTTATCTCTCCTCCTGCTTTCCTTTGTATGTTACTCTCAAGTAACACCCCTTAATCTTCAGCCCTTATGTGACCTAATTGTGTTGCAAGAGCTGTAAAACTCTTACTGAAACAAAAACTAATATGTTTTGTGTCCTGTGTCTGTGAGCAGGCAAACCCAAGAAACACGTGCTGCCCCTCAACGTGACCGAAGTGGTCAATGTCAAGGAAGTGGCCAACAACAGGACCGACTACACAGGGAAACACTTCTTGCAGGTCAGTCATAACAGTAGCCTGGTTTAGTAGGCTGTAGTTGGGTCAAAGGAGATATATACTATTTCTCTCTCTCTCTCTGTCTCTCTCTGTCTCTCTGTCTCTCTGTCTCTCTGTCTCTGTCTGTCTGTCTGTCTGTCTGTCTGTCTGTCTGTCTGTCTGTCTGTCTGTCTGTCTGTCTGTCTCTCTCTCTCTCTCTCTCTCTCTCTCTCTCTCTCTCTCTCTCTCTCTCTCTCTCTGTCTCTCTCCCCCTCTCCCTCTCCCTCTCCCTCTCTCTCTCCCTCTCTCTCTCCCTCTCTCTCTCCCTCTCCCTCTCTTTCTCTCTCTCTCTCACACACACACACACACACACACACACACACACACACACACACACAAACACACACACAAACACACACACACATACTATAAATGAACAATTGTTTTTGTTGACAATTATATTGCTAAAGCTAGACACAGAACCGGTATTCTGACAGTAGTAATCTAATGGAATATGTTTCACCTCCGTGTCCATTTAAAGTAAAATCACCTATCTTATTTCCGTGTCTCCCTTCAGCTGTCTGGCCCAGACATCCGTCCCCGGCACGGCGTCATCGCCCACACGGAAGGCATCGTGACTGTGACCCCCAACAGCCATGACGCCGAGACCTACGTGGAGAGGCAGCGCATTGACCAGACCACCATGCTAAAGCACGGCATGATGGTCCAGTTTGGCAAGGACCACGTCTACCGGTTCCTTGACCCTCGTTTCGAACAGGTGAGGCCGGCTGGCTGATGTGGTAACTTGTCCCGCACGATCATATGGCCTTATGCAGTAATCAGCGCTGTAGAACTTTTACCAAACAACATAAATGTAGTGTCTTGCGGGGGTGTTTTAGTGTTGCATGTTGCAGGATACCCAAGTTTGATCCTATGAGTCTTGAGTGGAGAGAAACTTATATTGAGTATCTCTGTCTTTTTGTTGAATTTTTTTTTATCCCTTTCTGCCCGGATTGGCTGTGAGAGACAGGGTCAAAAGCCAACCACCCAAATGATCTGAATTGTGTCGATGGGGGCGTAAAACAGACTGTACTTAACAAACTTTTAAAAATACTCTTATTTTATTTATTTACCCCTCTTTTCGATCAAACATATTTATATAACCTTATCTCTCCTTCTTCTTTCTATCAAACATCTGTCATCTTTATCTTCCCTCCTTAAAAACACCTACATTAAAAAATTTATTCGCCCCCTTCCCCACCCCAGCCTTCCATGCAGAACCAGCCATACCAGCTTCCCAACAAACCCGGCGTGCGCGGCCAGCCTCAGGAGACCAACTTTGACGTGGATGGACACATCGAGACTGTGCGGGGACCTTCGCCTGGGGACGGCTCTATGCAGTACGATGGCCAGCAGGGAAGGTGAGTGCTAAGGCTGTGCCAATACTCCAGTATTTTGCTTGTATTATCATCCCTACTTTGTTTTTTGTTTTTTGTATGGACGGATGAGTTTTTTGCTTGTATCATCATCATCCTTACTTTATTTTTAAAAACAGTCAGATGTGTCTTTTTTTGCCTGTGTCATCATCCTTACTTTATTTTTTATAATTGTCAGATGTCTTTTTTGGCTTGTATCATCTTCCCGACTTTGTATTTTCAATAGATACGTGTGGCTGTTGCTTGTCCCATCATCTGTACTTTGTTTTTCCAATAGACAGATATGTTTTTTGCTTGTATCATCATCTTTACTTTGTGTTTTCAATAGACAGATGTGTTTTTTTGCTTTTATCAAGATTCATACTTAGTTTTCCCCTTGTCCCTGTACCAGGGGTGTCCCCGACCGGTCTCCCACTTCCCCGCAGGCTATGTCGTCCCCAGACAATCTCCTACCTGCCTCTGTGGAGTTCTTCATGGAATGTGAGTACACACCTATGTCCTCACTCTTGTGATGTGACTGGCTAACACACAAATGTGTCAATTTGTTTAAAAAATTGGATGAATCGATAGTACTAAAGACTACATCCCACTATGTTATTTGTATATTGTAATGACACTGTTAAATCAAGATGTACATCTATTTCAGACAACCATTTTTCCCTCAATAATGAGTGGCCGCCTTGAAAAGTTTCAACATTACAATTAGGGTGGATAAGTCATGCTCGCTTAGTTTAGATTAGTTTTTGCAAGAGTTTTATAGAACTTGGCTTACAACACAAATTGGACATATAAGTGCTGAATATTAAAGGTGTTACTGAGAGTTATAAACAAAGAAAAGGAGGAAAGATAAAGACCATGGATAATTGAAAGGAAACAAGGAGCAAAACACACCGGAGCACCCACCAACCACTCGCAGTTTGACAGTACATTTCTGAATTGTATTTAGATATCTACACATTTTTAATTTTTTAAAAAATGCTTAAAACAAATTTTTGTTATTTGGTTTCCTGCAGCGGAAAGTCGTCTTCTGCAGGCGTCTATCTTGGAGGTGAACAGCAAACAGCTACAGTTCAAACTGGCTCCGACCTACACACTGTACCTGGCGGCACGCCACCTCCTGGCTGCTGGCTCTCCCATGGCCCACCGGCCACAGATAGTAGCCGATTTCGTCAGCCGCACTGCCAAACTGACCCAACAGGCGATACAGGTAAGTGAAAAAAGTCTTAAATGTAGCTGTTTTTCACATCTACACAATTAAGATCATACAGGAGACGGGATTCTGACCCTGCCTGTCAGGGCCAACCTAAACAGAGAAGATACAGTATCCCAGCAGAAAGACTGAGATACTCGACAAAAATTCTCCCCACTCGGGAATTGAACGTGGGTCTCCTAAAAATGCTGACAATTTTGGAACTGATGTTCATAAAGTTCAAGTTAAGATTGATGTTTCTGAGAATAGAAGAGTTGATAGAGGAAATCACAATTGTGTGTGGCCAGCCTAGATCATATGCTACAATATGACAAGTTTCAAATGCTGGTTTTGCTTTTTTTTATCCTTCTTTCCTTGTGAATTGTTTATTCTATAGCCTTTGCATAGCTGTGTCTTCGTGGTTGATAGTCTTTATTTGTTTTTATTTTTTTATAATCCTAACCTTTTGGTTGCTTGTTTTTCTTGAAAGTCTCAGTGATTTTAAAAATGATGTGCCGTTTATGTTGCTGCAAGGAAAAATAAGAGTCTGTTTTTACTGTGAATCTCTACTGGATTTTACTTGGTGGATGGAATTGATGGTGTTTGGTTGGCAAGTGCTCTGTTGCAGTTTGCTCCTTCTTTCTTATGAAACATCTGTTGCTCACATCTCTCCTCCTTCTGCTCTATGTATGTTACTTTCAAGTAACACCTTTAATCTTTGGCACTCACTTGTGTTTGTGTGCAGATGTTTGTGGAAGAGAGGATGTGTAAAAGGGGGTGCGTATGGTTATATGTGCATACCTGTGTGGGTGCATGATGAAACGCTAAATCATTGTGTCAGCATCTAGACAATAAAGATTTATCTCATCTTTTCTAATCGTATTTGTGTTGCAAGTGCTGTAACTTCTTTACAAAACAAAACAAAAATCGTAAAAAAAACAACAAACTGCAATGCAATTGTACTGTATGTTTACAGGATCAACACAATGACCCCCCGTCCCTGGCTTTCTGGATGGCCAACTCTTCGGAGATCTTGCACATGGTGAAACAAGACCGCGACCTTCACCCCTGCAGCTCTGAGTCCCAGGAGATGCTGGCCGAGGCCGTCCAGATGGCCTTCCACCACCTGGTTCGATGCCTTCAGGGGGACTTGCAGCGTGTCATGTCGGCGTTTTTGGATCCCACCGACGATAATGTCAATGATGGTGGGTTGGATGGGTTATATATGAAGGGGAGAGGGAGGGTAATGGTGGGTGGTAGTGGAAGGGAAGTGGTTGTCCGTGCTGCTTTTATGGACTCCACAGACAATGTTAATAATAGTGGGTTGGAAGGGCTTGCAGTAGATTTTATTTCAGGAAGGAGAGGGAGGTGGGGTGGGGGTTGTCCTTTCTGTTTATGGACCTCGCAGACGATAACGATATTAGTGAAGGTGGGTTGGAAGGGCTTTGAGTACATGCATGCGCTTTTATTGGAAGAAGAGGGGCGTTTGGGGATTATAGTCTTAGTCTTGAGGGGAGACTTGCAGAGGGTTGTATTGGTATTTTTGGGATCCACAGCTGATAATGATGGTGGGTTGGAAATGGTTAATATATTTGTTTTTTTAAGCATTCATTTGTTAATGTATTTGTATTCTATCCTTTGTTCATTCATTCGTTCCTTCATTTATTCTTTGGTTTGTTCATTCATTCTTTCACATGTACTTTCTTTTGTTCATTTGTTCATATATTTATTCCTTCTTTTGTTCCATCTTTCATTTATATATTCCTATTTTAGTTAATTCGTTCATTCCATTTATTCCTCTCCTCCCTTCCAGAGATGGGCCAGCGCTACAACATGGGTCGCCCCACCCTGAACGACGTGCTCAACACGCTATCGGCGGCCATGACACTGCTGCGTCGTTGCCGCGTCAACGCCGCGCTGACCATCCAGCTGTTCTCCCAGCTGTTCCACTTCATCAACATGTGGCTGTTCAACATCCTGGTCACCGAGCCCCAGCTGCAGCTGTGCACGCGGCCCTGGGGCGTCCGGCTGAAGAGCCGGCTGGGCAGCGTGGAGGCCTGGGCGGAAAAGCAGGGGCTGGAGCTGGCCGCGGATTGTCATTTGTGTCGCATCATACAGGTGGGTGTGTGTCATGTTTTTGTCGTATCATACAGGTGGGTTTGTGTCATATCATACAGGTGGGTTTGTGTCGCATCATACAGGTGGGTTTGTGTCATATCATACAGGTGGGTTTGTGTCATGTCTGTGTCATATCATACAGATGGATGTGTGTCATGTCTGTGCCACTTGTGTCGTGTCATATCAGTGGGGTGTATCGTTTTTGTGTCACTTTTGTTGTATCATACTTGTGGTTGCGTGTCATGTTTGTGTCACTTGCGTCGTATCGTACAATTGGGTGTAAGTCTGTGTGTGTCACTTGTTTTGTATCATACTGGTTGCATGTCATGTCTGATTATTGTTATTTTAATTAGTATCATTATTCTTATGTTATCCCCAGGCTGCTCACCTCCTGCAAGCGCCCAAGTCGAGCGCTGACGACATCACCAACATCAGCTCCACCTGCTTCAAGCTCAACTCCATGCAGCTGCGTGCACTGTTGACGCGTTACTTACCAGAGCCTGGGGAACCACACGTGTCGGACACGTTCATCGAGCGTGTTGTGTCCATCGCAGAAAACATGGCGGATGAGCTCACTCGCACTGACGGGCGGGAAGTGCGACTGGAGGAAGACCCTGACCTTCACCTTCCCTTTTTGCTGCCGGAGGACGGCTATTCTTGCGACACAATCCGAGGGATTCCAAAGGGCTTGCCGGAGTTTGTTCATTACCTGGAGACTGAAGGTGAGAAACGTAACTTATCAGTTTGTAGCTAGTATGGAAACTTTTCTTTCATCATTTCTTCGCTAGTGTGGAAACTTTTCTCTCATCAGATCTTACCTGGTATGGAAACGTTTGTGTTATCAGTTATTATCAAGTATACCGATGTATGGTGTAGAGGTTAGATGCTTCGCAGTTGCACACAGGAGACCCGAGTTTGATTTGTTTCCTCAAGTGGGGAGAAGTTTTATCAAGTATGTCGCTCTTTCTTTCTTCTGGTAACCCTCTCAGCCTAGGTTAGCCCTGACAGGCAGGATCGAAAACCTGCCTCCTAAATGATCTAATAAATTGTGTCGTAAAAACACCTACATTTGAAACATTTTTAAAATCTTTTTATCAGAATTGATAGTGAGAAAGATTTTTCATCAATTTTGCCGCTACTGCTGTCACCAGTTCCTGAGTCCTTTCTGACTGGGAAAACCTGAGTTGTTCTAAATTTGTTGTCTTGTAAGAGTTTGAAGAATTACGGTTCAATTGTATATTTACTTCTGGTTTTTTAAAGTTTTCTAAAATCTTTTGAGTGAGGGGATTTGATAATGCTTTTGAAAGTGTTTGCCAGTTATTGCAGTTTGTTATTTTGTTGGTGGTTTGTGAGTGCTGTGTTATGGTTCACTCCTTCTTTTCTATCAAACATCTATTGTCCTTATCTCTCCTGCTCCTTTTTTTTTGGTAAGTTACTGTCTAGTAGTAACAGGTATATTCTTTGGTACTAATATGACCTATTTAAGTTGCAAGTGCTGTTAAACTCTTACTAAAACTAATAAACAATTGTTTCTTTGAATGATAATATCAAGTAACAGCTGTAGTCTTCGGCATTTTTATGGTCTTTTTGTGTTGCTTTCAAGTACTGTTAAACGTTTAACTAAAACTATTTCTTTCCCTCTTGTTCGCGATGGTGCAGGTATCTGCCGGTACACGGTGAACAACAACGCCTCTGGCAGCTGGACGGTATACATGGGAGATGGTGGTCCGCAGGATGTGAGTTTGCTACTTGTTGTCTCATTGATGAGCACATGCACGTGCATTGCAAACACATGCACATACGTGCACACACACACACACAGAGAGAGAGAGAGAGAGAGAGAGAGAGAGAGAGTCCATATCTCTAGCCCTTCTTTTTTTTACATGGTACTCTCTAGTGACAACTCATATCTTCAGAACTAACACTACCTAATTGTGTTGCAAGTGCCGTAAAACTTATCTTAATAAAAGTTGCATGCTTGAAACTGTACACTGCAAGCACTGGCCCCCACAGTATTGTACACGAGCTGCTCCACAGGTACACACAGGTACACCTGAGTCCATTGACACAGCTACTTTATCAATGTTGTATCAATGTTATCAGCTCTAAGTGGTCAGTGGTCCCATTACACCTGTCATTTGTCTGATAAGCTTTTGTGGCGGGCTGGACTAGCTTTAAATCCAACACCCCCCCCCCCCCCCCCCACACACACACACACGAACACACGAAGACATTAATGTGGATTTTGGATTTGTACAGCTGCCAGCTGTGTGTGTGTGGGGGAGGGATTACCTTATCCTGTAGTTTTCTACTCCGTTTCCCTTTCCCTCTTCCTCCCTTAGGCTGTCTCGGTCACAGATGTATGCAAGTGTTTAGTTCTAACTGCTGTGAAATATTTTATTCATGTACTGTCCACAAGCGTTACTATTTTCTTTGAGATTATTGTTCTCCATGTTAAGCATCAGCTGACATTGGAAGCTGAAGTGACTGTGTGGTCTGTTCTTTTTGCTTTGTTGAAACTTGTCTTTATCATAATTTGTTCTTGGTGAAATGTGGCTGATATTCTGTGTTTGCTTGTTGCAAAACTTTACAGCTCGTGTATAGCAGTTTGTTTGACAAAATTTTGTGTGTGAATGCTTTCTGTAAGCTCTGACAGGCGTCTATGGCAAGCGATAGACCTGTGTTCGATTCCTGAGTGAGGAGAATTTTTATTATCTCAGTTTTTCTGTTTGGATGTTGTACTCCTCTCAATCTGGGTTGTCCCTGACAGGCAGGGTTGAAGCCTAATTCCTGAATTATTTAAATTGTCTTGATAGGGGCATAAAAAAGTAAGCTCTCTACTTCTTTTTCCCCCCTCTGTCTGTCTGTCTGTCTGTCTGTCTGTCTGTCTGTCTGTCTGTCTGTCTGTCTCACTCTTTCCCCACTCTAAATGAATGTTGTTGCGCTTATGTACTTCTTTTGACTCAAACAAGCTTACAGAATGTCCCATTGTTTGAAGCCCTGACATCTCTGTGTGTTTTGTTTTGTACAGATGAAGGGAGGGCCAGTGAGCCCCGGTCTGCCGGCCACGCCAGAGATCATCACACTGTCCTTTAATAAGGTCAAGGGCAGCATGGGACTCAGCATTATTGAGGCCACGGTGAGTGCTGGATGCGGGTGCTCTGGTGTGGTTTTGCTCCTTCTGTCCTATCAAACATCTGTTGTTCTTATCTATCTTTAAGTTGGCAAGTAGTTGGAGGGTGCGACTAGTAGGCCCTTCTTCCTTTTTTTCCCTCAGTTGTTTCTGTCTGCCTGTCTTGCTTCTTTCATGCACTATATGACCATTTTTATGTCAATGTTCTTCTCTTTACCCAAACTCAAACCAACAAATTTTTCTGTTCTCTCACATTAGTTGTTGTATTACTGGACATTATCTGCTGTATTTTCAGATGTAAGTTGTTTTCGTTTTGGTTTTAGTTGTTGTATTTTCAGCTGTTGTCTGTTTTCTTGCAGGGTGAGGGCCAGACGGAACAAGGCATCTACATCAAGTCTGTGGTTGAGGGTGGGGCCGCTGCTATGGTGAGTGGATGTTCGGATCTCATGTGATGTAGCATCACAAAATGAGGGACTTTTACGTGTTGACTTAGACTTGGTTTCCCTCGTACGATGTTTGTAGTGTCAGTTTGTCTTTGCAGGTTCCCCAGCCATGTATGACTGTTGTGTCTCTGTGCTTCTCAGTGAATGTCTTTTTGTGTGTCGACTACTTAGCATAAGATTCTGCCATACCCCATTTTGAAAAGTGACTATGACGGAGTCTTATGCTGATCAGTTGAAATGTGTTCTTTTGGCAGATTGCAGATGTATATGTATTTGGAAGGGTTGTAGTACGTTGAATGGGTCAGTATGCTTGACTTTCAATTATTGTTAAATGCCTATAGCCACCAGGGAGTGGGCACTATAGAAGTGAACTTTATTATTATTATTATTATTATTATTATTATTTTAAAAAAACAGTAATTGACTTTTGTTGTTCTTTTTCTCTTATTTAGGATGGGCAATTGCAGGCAGGAGATCAGCTGTTGGAGGTAGATGGGAAATCTCTCATTGGACTCTCACAAGACAAGTGAGTTTTCGTGGGTGGTTGGTGGGTGCTTTGCTGTGGTTTGCTCCTTCTTTTCTATCCAACATCTATCATCCTTATCTGTGGGTGGTTGGCGGGTGCTCTGGTGTGGTTTACTGCTTCTTTCCTGTCAAACATCTTTCTTCCCTCCCCTTCTTCCTTTTTATGTTTGTTACTCTCTTGTGACAGCTCTAATCTTCTGGCGCTCATATGGCCCTATGCAGTTGTGAGCGCTGTAATACCTCTACTAACACTAAAAACATCCTTATTTCTCCTTCTTTTCTTTGTTTATTACTCTCTAGTAACACCCCTAATCTCCTCCTTCTTTTCTTTGTTTATTACTCTCTAGTAACTCCCCTAATCTTCAGCACATACATGACCTATTTGTGTTGCAAGTGACTAAAGCTTGTATTTGAACTAAACTGAAATGTGTAAAGTGTGAATTCCAGGATTTGATCTGTATTGATTTTAAAAGTGTTTTGCAATGGTGTAATATTGTGTATTTGATATTCTTTGTATGTATATTTGTGTGCTGTACTTTTGTTTGCCATTATGACCCCAGAGTGTAATTTATTTTATTTATTTGTTTATTTGTTTGTTTATTTATTGATCAATTAATTGCTTTTCCCACCTCGTGTCTCAGGGCAGCTGAACTGATGACCAAGACGGGTCAGGTTGTGCGTCTGAAGGTGGCCAAACAAGGAGCCTTCTACTGTAACTTGAGCAACCTTCTGAGTCAACCTTCGCCCACCAGTCAGAGAGGTGAGTATCGGCTTGGCAGCCAATACAGGGACCAGTGTAGGATATTGTAATTCAAATGTATGGGTGGCCATAACTGTGCCTGGTCCAGGATATTACAGTGCAAGTCTATGGGGGGGGGCCATGAGAGTGCCTGGTCTAGGATATTGTGATTAAGTCTGTGGGCAACTATGACAGTGTCTGGTCTAGGATATTGTAATTAAGTCTATGGGCAACTATGACAGTGCTCGGTCTAGGATATTGTAATTAAGTCTATGGGCAACTATGACAGTGCCCAGTCTAGAAAATTATAACGCATGTCTATGGATGGCCATGACAGTTCCTGGTTTAGGATATTATATGTCTTTGGGCAGCCATGACAGTGCCCAGTCTAGGATATTTTAAGTCTATGGGCAGCCATGACAGTGCCCAGTCTAGGATATTAATTCAAGTCTATGGCGCAAAGACACTCAGTCTCGCACAAGCAGTGACTGACTTAACCAGATCTGTGTCGATTCTTTACCCCTTGGAGCTTTCCCTGTCTCCATCTATCTTGTCACGTATTTTTTTCTTCCCTCAGCCATCCACAATCGTGGGCCCGGTGGGATTAAAGCAGCCAAAGATGACGGGCCGCCACCTCCTTACGATGGACTGGATAACAAACCTGTCAATGGATATGGTTAGTAGAATCTCTTTTTTTCATCTTGTGCATTTGTTCTGTCATTCCATTTTTTACCCCTGTGAATAGGTACCAATGCCTATGTCAGGATGATGATAAGGCAGCTCTTCTTGACTCAAGATATACACATAGACTTAGAAATTTGTGTTGGCGTGTGCTGTGTTGTGGTTTTCTTCTTTTTTCCGATCAAAATCTATCGTCCTGATCTCTCCTCCTTTTTTGTGTTTGTTACTCTCTTGGGTGCTATTGACTGAAGTGTCTTAAGGCCATTCCCAAAGGGGGGACATTAACATGTTCTTAGGCTCAGTAGAATTGTAAATGGGCTAATTCATCAATGTCATGCTTATAACTGTGCCTGAACTGCATATGGGGAACTGCTGATTTCTAACTCTGATCTTCGGCTCTTGTATGATCATTTTGTGTTGCAAGTGCCATAAAACTCTTATTAAAACAGAAATGTTATTTAACCAAATTTGAAAGTAGTTTGTCTCTTCATTTGTATATTTTGTGTGAAGTATTGCTTTCAGAATTTTTTATATGTGGAAAGCAAAGTATTCAATCCATATCATATTCCTACACTTAGTGCTTGTGTTGATCCTTTGTTCGTTTTTTGTTTCTTTCTCAGACCAGGACAACAGACGGAGAGGTCCTGACCACGGAGGTCATCCGTCTGACCCCTACCAGCGTCGAGACATCGGGGACCCACGCTCCAAGTCCACCTCCAACCTGCACGTGGACACAAACTTTGACCCGCGCAGTGGGCCGGCGGGTGAGCCCTCCCACTTGCGTCCCGCGCAGTCTGTGGGCATGCTACACCCATCCTCCCCCGGCTACGGCCAGTACTCCCCGGGGGGCCGCAGACAGGACCTGCGACCCAACGATTACGAGAACCAGCCCCACTACCCGCCCTCCCAAGGGTCAGGGGAGCGCTCGTCGTACGACGGAGGACCCCCTAGACAACAGCAGCAGCAACAGGGGTATAATTTTGCCGATCCCCGACAGAACATTCCGGGCCCAGGTAGAGGAAGTAGTAGCCAGTACCCGCCTGGCGGTGGTGGTCCACAGGGTTATCCCCCCCAACAGGCCCCGCAGCAGCGAGCTTCAGACAGATCGTCGGTTTCGTCGAGGGCATCTTCAAACAGCGCCAAGGACGCGCGGCCCCAGTCGGCCTACTTCGACCCCCAACACACGCGGGACGTGAACAGCATGATGCAGGACGGTCCTTCCCCCTCGTCCCGTCCGCGGTCTGAGGACGTGTCGGCGGGCAAACTGCGAGAGTGGCAGGACAAGTATGAGGGAGGAGGGGGTGGAAACAGCCCGCCTTACAGCAACGTGGGACCCCAGGCCAGAGACCTGCCCCCTCAGCCACAGCACAACCCACCGCCCAAACCCACAGCCCACCAACGACTGTTCAGCCAGCCCACGGGCGGTGGTGGTGGCAGTGGTGGGCCCCCACAGAAGGTGAACAACACGGCCAACAACCGGCAGCCTAACTTTTACGAGAACACAGCGCCCTTACAGCAAGAACCTTCCCCAGCATTCCATCAGCTGCACCGGCCACCCAGTGACAGCGAACTGCGGCCCAAAGTGGCCCCTAAACCGGCCATCGCTCCCAAGCGGAACCAAGCCCGAGTACCCCCTGTGGAGGTTCCGCTGATGCGAGTGGACAACCGGCAGACGCAGCCCCACTTCTTCGGCGACCGCCAACCCCCGTCCCCGGCGGGACAACAGGGCAGTCCTCACATGGTACAGCAGCCGGGCCACCCACAGCAAGCAGGGAGGGGTCAGCCAGACAGCCGGGGTCAGCACGACCCGAGGCAGGGGATGGACCCCAGGAATGGTCAAGACCCTAGGTTGATGTCCGACCCAAGAAATGGTCAGGACCCAAGAATGATGTCAGACCCCAGGAACGGTCAAGACCCCAGGATGATGTCGGATCCAAGAAATGGGCCAGATGTGCGGAACAACATGTCGGATCCTAGGAACGGCCCAGTTCACGACCCAAGGTCTATGCCAGACCTCCGAAGCATACCAGACCCGCGCAATGACCTCCGAAACATGCCCGACCCTCGCAACATCACAGACTTGCGAAATGTTCCCGACCCACGGAACGTCGTAGACCCACGGACTATGACCGACCCACGCAATGTTCAACAGCAGCCTCAGCGGGGAGGAGGAGGCTACCAGCAGCAGCAGCCTGACATGCGCAGCGGCGGTGCTAATAATAGCAACGTACCATCTCCACACTACCCTGACCCTCGCCAGGGAAGAAACGCCCCACAACAGAACGTCAGCTTCCGTCAAGATCCGAACCAGCAATCGTACGGAGGCTACCCCCAGGACCTGCCGCCTCCCCCGAGCCATACGGAGCTGCCCAGCCCTGGCCACGGTGAGGACTACCAGGAGGAGCTCCCTCCTCTCCCTCCCCCACCCTCCCAGGAGGACCTGGTGGAGAAGAAGCTGGCGGAGGAACAGCAGAAGTTGATGGAGCACATCAATGCCACCAACCAGTACCTGGCCACTGACAGCAGGTAGGCCTCACGCCGTCGCAGATGACAGCCTTAGACTTGCCAGCCTCAGAAGTACAAAATTCTGTTTGCGCAATACCTTGATTTGAGAAATTTGAAGTACAAAATTTTGAGTTTCACATCATGTCAAACTTTTTCAAATGCAGTTCTTTTAATATCTTGATTATGACTTCAAATAATCTGATAATTTTGAAAGAACACATAGAACATTTGGTTACTGACCTAATTGTCCTAATAACTCGAAACGGCATAAAATGTCTGATTGAACTATGTAATTCTGAGGGAGCGAGTTGTCATGAATTGTCTGGGACTGCCCCAGATTTGGAAATTGTGAATTTGAAAGCTTTGCCTTATCAAGTACACTACACCTAAACCTGTCACGCTTGATGTAGTTTTTGTTTGTTGTCTAATCTAATGTTTTCCCCCAGGGCAGTGCCACTGACTGTAGTGTCTTTAGGCCATTCCCCAAAGGGGGACATTTCTCGTTCAAGCACAGTAGAATTGTAAATGGGCTCATTCATGTCACGCTCATTGTCATTTTCCTCTACTTCTTTTGTATGTTTGTCACTCTTGTGACCTGCTATTTCCGGGGTGCCTTGATAGTTGATGCAGACCTTGTGCTGTTGAAGCTAGAGAGGTGAGCAGAGTAAGTCTGATTCCCTGTAAAGACTTCTCTGTTGACACCCACCCCTTGGCGCTCATTATGACCTTATGCAGTTGCGAGCGCCGTAAAACCCTCTGCTATAATAATAAAAAAAGAAATAATCTAATGTTGGGTGTCCCTGACTGGGCTTTGAAGAAGTTAGCAAGCCCACATCCTCATGAGGCATTTCAGGATGATGCTTTACTTTAACTGCTCTGACCAATCAGAGTAAATGTGAGATATGAGGAGAAAATGGGTTTATTCGCGCAATCCACGAATGGAGATGTAAGCTGAAAATCAGCATAAGTTAAGATTTGTAGATGTTCAGTTGATGCCATTTTCTTCAAGTTAAACATTTTTTTTATCGTATGGAATGTACAAACTCCACCTATAATTTGATGTATCTATGTCCATATGGCTAAAGTCTTAGAATTAACTCATTTTGTCAACATACCTCAGAGTAGAATAAATATGAGGGGGGGGGGGGGGGGGGGATTTCCTGAGATACTAGATGGAAAGATAAAACATGTTTCTGATTTGGAGAAATTGGTGATGAATCATAGATAGATGGAGATGGAATAGAAGAACTTTTAGGGGAATTGTGAGAGATGAATGCAGGACGGGAGGAAGAAAATCTTGAACTGATGAGGAAATTGTTATTGGAAGGATCTGTATCATAGTTACAAAAGTTGTGTTATAAAGTAATAAACTTAGAGTGCATCTGTTGAGGCATAGAAGATTTGTATGAAGGGGTGTAAAGGTTATACACCGAAAGCAAAGCACACATCTGGAGAGGCATAAATTAGTATGAGTTTGAATAAAATTTATATAACATAAGTAAAACACAAATAAGGTATACATCAGTATGAAATGGTGTAATAGTTATATAATATATGTAAAGGACACATCTGGGGAAGCATATATTAACGTGAATTGGTACCTGTTTTTCTCTGACTTGAGTGTATGTATGCTTGTTGTTTTTTTCCCTTACACAAAGAATTATATTTTTTTCTTTGTCTTTCCCCAGGGGAAATCCAAGGTACAGTCCAAACACGTTCCAACCAACACAACCATCACATCAGCAGCCACAGTATCATCAGCCCCAACAGCAACAGCACAGTCGCTATCAGCAACAGCAGCAGCCGCAACAGCAGCAGCCGCAACAGCAGCAGCAGCAGCAACATCAGCAGCAGCACTCACTGACCCGAGTTCTCCCCCCTGGAGTGGACACGAGAGACTCCCCGCTGGGCTACCAGGTGGCCCCGGACCCGAACCATGGAGACCCCGAGCTACAGCATCCCAACTACCAGAACATCGGCTTCGCCAACGAGGTCCACTCCACGTCGGGCCCCGACGGCCAGGCCCCTCCGGTGCCCCAACCCCCGTCGGAGTACGAGTCCTACGACAACCCCGCTCTCAAGTCACAAGGCTTCCAGGTACATGCAGGCACTCTCATTTCCTCACACAGACATCTGTGGTGTAGTGGTTGGGTTCTTTGTTGTCACAAGCAGGAGACCCTGATTTGTTCCCCGTGTTGGGGAAATTTTTTTATTGAATATCTCGTCTTTTTTTTCTGGGAGTTGTATCCCTCTCAGCCCAGATTGGCCCTGACAGGGAGGGTTGGAAGCCTGCAGTGAAGTCATTGAACTCATGGTGCTACAAATGACAGAGAGAGAGATGGAGAGAGAGAGAGATAGAGAGGAAGAGAGAGAGAGAGAGAAAATATGAATGTGTGCATACAGAGTAGAGGTGTTTCCGCATGTGATACATGTATTTATGTCCTTTTTTACTGTGTGAATGCATGAGTGCACCTAACCTTTATAAAAATCCACTCCCATTGTAAATGACAAGACAAAATTTGCCCTGTGAAATGAATAAAGATTGTCATTGTCAAACTGTATATGTCCATCAGGTGAAGCCAGCTGTTCCAGCCTTGAAACCCAAGCCTCGGGAGCGCAGCGAGGGCTCGTCACGTTCGGCGTGGGATCGGGACGCTCGTGAAAAGGCTGAGGAGGAAGAGCAAGAAGAACTGTTTAGGGCCAGAGAGCAAGAGATCTCAGAGCTGGAGGCCCGTCCGTACTTAAACCCTCAGGTACCCGAACTATGGGCTGATCTTTCAGTTTATTAGGAAGAGTTTTACGGCACGTGCAACAAAATTAGGTCATAAAAGTGCTGAAGATTAGAGAAGTTACTAGAGAGTATCATAGAAAGAAAAGTGTAGTTTAGATCGTTTCCGTATACCAATGTTCTGCTGAAAACTCTGGAATTTTTTTTCCCTGTACCAAATTTGCTTGTTTCTAATATTTTGTTTTAGGATAGTGGTATTTACAGAATTTTTTATTGGTTGATGTTACTGATGACTGACTGATGTTTTAGTTTGTGTTGACCTTTCTGATGAGAAATGACTTTGACACCCTCCTTTGTTTTCTCCTGATCAGGACCAAGAGCGGCTACGCAAGTTGAAAACGCAGCAAGAGTTTCAGAGACGTGTGCGAGAGATTGCTGAGAAAGGAGACTACGAGTATGATGATGATGATGATCTGACGGAGAGAATTTTTGTGAGTAGTGGGATTTAGGGGGGGGGG